GATTCCTATGGCGCTAGCCTCAGCACAGTGGTTTCAAACCACCAATCACAATGGTGTCAATCGCTGAAGCCTGAATTTACAGACATTACCATATATAAGAGTTTAAGATCATGATGTACAGTACAGTATTTTATTTGGCTTTTGTTGATAGCAGAGGCTTCGAGGGGTTTTTTTTCAGTGACAAGACCAACTACCATATCACTTTCTAAATCCACGCCTCATATATTTGGTAGAAAGAGAGGGTGGGTGAAAGTGTTTTTGAAATTTAACGTGTAGATTCGATCCGCTACGCTGATTTCAAACCACCAATATGGCGAGCCGAGTTGTCATTTAATCGTAAATAGAGATATCTTAGTTTTAAATAGAGATATCTTAGTTTTTAATAGAGATATCTTAGTTTTAACTAAGATATCTCTATTAATAGAGATATCTTAGTTTTAAATAGAGATATCTCTATTAAAAACTAAGATATCTCTATTTAAAACTAAGATATCTCTATTTAAAACTAAGATATCTCTATTAAAAACTAAGATATCTCTATTAATAGGGATATCTTTATTAATAGAGATATCTTAGTTTTAAATAGAGATATCTTAGTTTTAAATAGAGATATCTTAGTTTTAAATAGAGATATCTTAGTTTTTAATAGAGATATCTTAGTTTTTAATAGAGATATCTCTATTAATAGAGATATCTCTATTATTAGAGATATCTCTATTTAAAACTAAGATATCTCTATTTAAAACTGAGATATCTCTATTTATAACTAAGATATCTCTATTTAAAACTAAGATATCTTTATTTTCATTGTTAATAGAGATATCTTAGTTTTTAATAGAGATATCTTAATTTTAAATAGAGATATCTTAGTTTTTAATGAAGATATCTTAGTTTTTAATAAAGATATCTTTATTAATAAAGATATCTTTATTAATAGAGATATCTCTATTTAAAACTAAGATATCTCTGTTTAAAACTAAGATATCTCTATTTAAAACTAAGATATCTCTATTAACAGAGATATCTCTGTTAATAGAGACTAAGA